ACACACACACACACACACACACACACACACACACACACACACACACATAAAACCTCCCCATCCCCAAATTTCCAGCTCTGCTCCTAACCCCCAGGCCTGTGCCCTCTTTTTCCTTTGGAACATGAATTTCGATTCTGTTGTCGCGGTGGAGAGAGGCTATCCAGCGCCTCTCAGCTCACTTGGGAACAATGAGAATGGTCAGCACACACAGGGTGTGGGGGCTTACGTCACTGGCAATGTCCCTGGACACACGGGCAGTCTGGAACGGAATGGCGTCCAGCCTGAAGTCACAGCCACGGGCCCGGTCCTGCTCCCAGGCATTCCTGTACATTTTCTGGGTGAGAAAACCAAAGCACCCGTGAATGAGGAACAACTGTTGCCCACGGTGCTATTTGCTCTCAGCAGGAGTGACGCTCCAGAGATGTGTGAGTTCACGGCCTGGTGTGAAGCAGGGGGCCTTACCCTGCTCTCAGGTTCATGGGGCTGGCCATAAGGGACTCCTGCTCTTCAGGAGTGTGCTCACCACCTCCTGCTGTTCTCAGGAGCCTTGCACATCCTTCCTGTGCCTGGACCCCCTCTGAGGGTCTCAGCTTTTCAGGCTCCTGACCCCTCAGCCTGGACCTCAGAACCCAGTTGCACCCCCCACACACACACACACACATGCTGAGAGTGCTCTCTCAACCTTCCCAGCAGTTGGCTGGTTTCCCTCGCTGCCTGAGGTTGGGGCTCTCTAGCTGTGATGCTCTCTCATCACAGGCATGCCCTCCACAGACTGGTGGGGACGCCAGAACCTCCCAGCAGGGAATCCGGCCCACATGGCCCTTCCCTGTCTTCCCCTTCACCCTGACTTTTCAAGCTGATCCACTCCCCTCTGGGGTCTGTGCGTTCATCCTCTCGGGCCTCTTGCACAGCCACATCCCGGGGGCGGGGGGGGGGGGGGGGGGGGGGGAGGGAACTCCAGCTCTTCCGTTCCTTCCTGTGGCTAACTAGTTCTTTCCAAGGTAAGTCAGACGACAGCCCATCAGCACATTCTTCTGGCAGTCCACTTCCTGTTCTGATGGCTGCCAGAAACGTCCGAGTAGGAAGTGAAGACAACCCTGAACATTCCATGAGGGAGACCTAGTGCTTTCCTGGTAAGAGCCCCAGGTCTGGGGCAGTTACTGATGCCAAACTTTCCCCGAACTTCAAGTCCAACACCAGATTACGTGGGTGCCCTGTGCACGCCAGCCCTGGCGCCCGGGTAGCTCAGGGCCACCTGTAGAGGCCTTGGCCTGAACTGAGGCTGTCCCCAGTGTGCCAGCTCTCTTTCTCCTGGCGCCCCCACACACGTGCCTGCTATGGTGGCTGCCTCCTGTGTTTTCTATGCTGCTGAGGTTTCTGCTTTGCTGCTGACACTCTTTAGATTCTGCAGGCGCTTTGATTCGGAACCATGGGCATCCCTCCTCTTGATCACAGTTTTGTCCTCGTCCTCACACATTAGAGTCATTTGATTTTGAGTTATTTCGGCTGCCTTGCACATCTCAATGGCTTTCTTTGCTCAGGAAGGTCACTTTGCCCCACATCCTCCTGGCAGAGCACTTGATCCAATTGTGCGCATTCCACACGCCCCTGAAGGAGTGCTCTTTCAAATGAGGTTCAGGAGCTCTCCACACTCGGTGAGCCCTGACGGCTAATTTCAGCTCCAGGACTCTGCAGCTGACCCCCGCCTTGTGAGAGCAGGCGTGCTTATCTTGGGAGCCTGGGGTGGGTGTCCTCCTTAAGCTGGGACACTCATGAACTAGCAGTTTCCTCCCCATCTCTGGGCTGAGGTCCTAGGAGGGGTACTTCAGCAGAGGCCTGGCCTCCCCATCCTTGGGAATTAATGAGCTGGACCTTCTGTGCCAGCTCTGCCGAGGGGGCGGTCCAGCTTCTCCAGATGGAGGCCACCCCATCATAGCTGCTGTTCTAAAATTATCCCTTGCTCGTTCCTCAAAAGCTTCAAATGGTCATAATAACTCATATTTACAAAGCCCGAGAGCATTCACCGTGTGGGACCCCACAGGGCTTTACAACAGTAACAAACTAATACACACGCTAACTAGAAGGCCCCTCTCTCCAACCCCCGCAAGGCAGCCACCTCTGGGGTGAGCTGCAGCAGCTGTCGATCCACACGCAGCCCCAGGACACAATGGCCAGGCCAGGCATCGAAGAATGGCCGGACGCTAGGAGGCTGTTCGCTGCCCTAGGCCAACACACTCAGCCTGTATTATTCCAACCTGACAGTGTCTTTTGATTGCCCCGCTCCTCTACCTGTTATCTGAGGATCACGGCATCACCGGCTGAGCGGCTGCCTATTCTATTCCAACCAGGCCTCCAACCCCTGCCAACAACAAGCCCCGGTTTAGGAAACAGAGTCTTGGTTACACAGGCAAAAGGGCACATGTCCAAGGGGAGCGGGAGTGTTGGCACGCACAGTTCTATGCACAAAGGAGCCAGCTACGTTGAGCACATCCTTTCAAAGTGCAGAGTGAGACGGTGCGACACCATCTGCACCACCGTATGTCTCTGAGCGGCTAAAGAAAGAGGTCTGAGAAGCTCACATCACAGGTGTGCCTACATGGGCCAGAGCCTGGGCCACACCCCTAACCATCCCCAGGCACATGGCTGAAGTCTTCCGAGCCTAGATTCAGAATGCCAGAGCTAACGTGGCTTCCCTCAGCCCAGCTCCATGTCTTCCTGGTTTACAGGTGAGGGAACTGAGGTCCAGTGAGGAAAATGATGGAAATCACACGAGCAGTTTGTCCCGATCGGGGTCCAGGGTTCTTTCTCCCTCATGCCCTCCTTAGGGCTTAAAAAAGAAGTCAATGGATCACCCCTGGGCTGTTAGAAGCAGGCATGCAGCAGTCCTACTTACGTCACTGAGGTGCATGGCGTTCAGGCGCGCTCTGGCGAGATCTGGGTGGTCTGGGAGGGGGGTGTACCTATGAAGGGAGTCTGCATCTCCTGACCTGTACAGGCGCTGTGGGCGAGACAATCGACGGAAGCAGGGCCTTGGCACCACTGCTCGGGGAAAAGCCGGGAGGAACGTCTCCTGACCCTCTCTTTTACTAAATGAGGAAATTCAGCACTGCTCCTAGGGACCATCCTTCTGGAATCATCCCCTGGTAGAAGGTGTGGCCAGGATCGTGCGACGGTGAACGATATTGTTAAGATATTCATCATGATCTATTCCAAATGCACTATAAACCAGCTCCATCGTTGGCTGCACCTGCCTACTTTATTCTGTCTCAAATGGGTGGCTAGTTCTCAGACCCTCTGCAACCTCATGCCTGCGTTCTCTGGTAACAAGAACAGGCTCCGGAGGCCCTGTTGTTCAACATGAACAGTAGTAATAAAAAACAAATTAGTCTTTTTATTATACAATTTATAAATTATAACTATATATGTATATATATAGTTGTATAGTCTTAGTGTTTTAAAAACTTAGTCTAGTTTACCCAGACCCCACAGACACAATTTGAACGTGAATGCTTTGTCTTGGTTTTCATTGCAGAGCAGAGATCTCTGCCTTGCCAACATTAAGCAGCACTTGAATTCCATCTGTCTCTCGGGGGTGGACATCCTATTTCCAGCCCTTCCCAAATCCCTTCAGGCTTTGAAAATGTGAGCTGTTCCAGGCAGCACTTGGGCTCGTGGGGGGGGGGGGGGGGGCGGCAGTCCTGTAAGTGTGTGAAGAATAAAAACCCTTGACAATTCAAAGGAGAAAACACGTGCAGCTTCCTGTCCCTTGGAAGAGGAAGCAGGCCTGAGGTACACAGGGAACAAAGGCAGAAGGGAGCTTTGAATGCTGCTCTTCTTTACTGCGGCAGCACGGCTATAGTCAGCCTTTTAATTCCATTGCAGACATCAGAAATTAAGATACATCTGGCCTCGTGTTTGGTGAGAGATCATCAGTAATACTTGGTATCACCGTAATCTGACTCAAACCATAGTAACTGCATTTACAGAGGACTCACTGTGTTTTATTTGCCTTTACTTATTTAATCCTCTTTAAATTCACTCAACGGGAATTTGAGTGAAATTGAGTGAATTGACCTGCTGCCTCAGGTCTCCCATGCCCTCCCTCCTTCAAATAGGGAGCATGAGGTTAGAAGAGGTTAGCAACTGGCCCACAATCACCCCGATGGCTTGCACTCCCATGTAGCACCGAGTCACAGTACCCAGTGCATGCCCACAGTGAGTGGGCTGAAGATCTCACCTCATTACAGTGCACATAGCTGTTCTTGGCATGAACAAGGTCTGGAGAGTCAACCACCGTGGTGAACTTGATACTGTCTGGTTTTTTACGGTACTTGGTCTATAAAAGAAAAGATTCCCCTGATACACGGTTAAATTCTTTAATCCTGGCTTCTTGGGACCATATGTGTAAACAACAATGGCGTATCAGAAGACAAGCTGCTCAGTAGCACGGGAGGGCCCAAGCTTCCCTCTGTGATTAAAAGTGTGTGACAGGCACTTTGCTTCTTAAAGAAGGGACCCCTTAAAGGAGTCCTCCCACAGAGGCTTGCTTAGACCCTCTCCACGCAAGTGCTGTTAATAAGAAAACCAAGGATGGCAGTGTCTCTCTCTAGCGGTGCTCTAGGGCAGAAGGCCAAGGCCATCAACCGGTTGGTATTGCTATCCCTATGAAACTTTTAATACCCCCTGGAGGTGTGAAGGTGACGTCCACACACTGGACCAAACTCAGAGGGTAGATACAGATTCCCCACACTGCCAATGAAAACGGGGAGTGGCATCACATGATAACTGACGATTAGCATCTAGCAAAAAGCTCCTAAGGTGTTTAGTGATTTCAACTCCTTTGCAGTGAATGAGTTACAGGGAAATACTGTTTTAGGTTTGGGTTGCAAATGGCTCCAGAAAAGATGCTGGGAGTCCATCGGCCTTGGGTCTGTCTTGGTATGGTCTCTATTGTGCAAGCAGATTCTCTACTCAAAAGAAAATGCTTGGATCACCCATGTCACTCAGGAAGGTCGGACTGATGGTACCTCACTGATGAGCTCTCCAGCCTTCTTTGCACTCTCTATCTGGGGAGATCGCAGAGCCAGCCATCCTGTGCCCTTCATGCTCATCAAGTCTGATTTGTAATGAAACTGCAAAAAGAAAACCAAGGGTTCCTGTCAGGATGGTGCCTAGGGCCTCAAGGGCATTTCAAGAAGGCCCTTGTTTCACAGTAAGAAAGATAACAATAAAGAAAATAATAAGGCCTTCACAGTCATGCTCCATCCCAACAGTCCAGCGTCGTCACTCAGAGAAGACTCTGGACACTAAGCCCAGCTGTTCTGAATTTGCACATTTTTCTGTGAAGAAAGTAATGGAGCTCAATAAAGGTACAGGAAGCCCCATCAGCAAGACTTGAAGCTGACCGCAATGACACCATGGACAAGCATTTAAGGAAAGAGCTACATGAGTGCTAAAATCCAAGGATCAACCAGGATTATTTGGGTTCATTCTGTCAGTAAGGTAATCTACCACGTGCCAAACAAGAACGATCTGCATACAGCTTAGTGGATAGAACAGTTTTGAGCCCTAGACTGAAGCTGCTATGACTCAGAGCAAATTACTTTTCCAAAATGCAACTCAGTCCCTGTCATATTTGAAGGTCAAAACAATCCTTCTTGTAAAAAGCCAAGAATCCATGGTAAACAAGAGACCATTAAATTTGTTCTTGATACAGTGGGCATAGAGGGGTCAGAGGTCAACTACAAGAGGAATTTAAAAACAAAAACAAATTTCACTGTGATGGGCTAGCAATGAGTTAGCCCCTGTAATCATTTCATGCCTCAGTTTACTCCCTGCCCCCAACTATAACTTATTATGATTTGCTTATATAGCAGAATCAGGCAAAACCTTATCCTCTTTCTTCATTTTAAGGGCTTAGGAGAGTAGGCTAATGACACCGTCCCTGGGAGAAATAAATAGGAGCGCTACAACAGCGGCTCTGATTGGAGCCCCAGCCTGTCAAGTCTCATCAGCAGTCCTTGATCTGCCTGCATCGCCTGCAATGACACCGGCACTCAACCGCCTTTCTTCTCCTCTTTATGGAAATTGGGTATTTTTAAAGGTAGGAAAAAACCTCTCTAAGGAAATCTGAAATTTGGATCTAAACGAAGTTGATGGCATTTCTCTAATTTAGATATAAGTCCCGCTGTAACGCAAAATATCGTTCTAGATATCAGCCCCTCGGCCTTTTTAGTTCTCTTTCATTTCGGGATCCACAGCGCTCCTCACAGCTGGCCTCAAAGAGGGACTGTTTCTGATCTACTGTCTGCTGGTTAATGCCCCTGTGCCAATTCCGCACTGCTTCCCGACCGGTGGAGGGAGGGCATCACTCGGGCTCAGGAGCAGGTTTCAAAACCCCATGTCAGTAAGATTGCTTTTCATACTGTGTCTTTTCAGTCTACAGCGGCAATGCTTTTGCCTTCGACTCTGATAAAGAACAGAGAAAATTGGATAAATTTCTAAGTTGGAGAGAATAAGCCTACAGGGCCTCTTCACAGCCAGGCCCTGCTCCTTTCATAAGGGAGATGAAGTGGGGGTACTCTTTCAAGCTGCCTTTGTGGAGCTGAGCACTACGATTACAGGTAAGACAGAAAGCAAGATGCAGGTTCCCCAAAGATCCGACTGTGCCTTGACGCCTCTAAACAGACCCTCATTGATATCTCAGCCCCGGCCCAGCTTTCACTATTCACACAGACCCTAAAAACAACACACCACCCCCGACTTCATGATGAAAGAAGGGAAAGAGGAGGGGAGCCAAGAAGAGTCAGCTATCCAAAGACAGCTTCAGAGAACTGTTCTGAGAAAGGAATAACCTTCCCAAACTGCCCAGCCTCGTCTGGCTCACCCAAACGGCAGGCTCTGTTTTCCCTTATACGTCGTAAAGTCCAGAGGGCACCTAACAATTCATGGTTAGGGCTCTTCTGGTACCTGAGTTTTGGAGTAATCTTTTGCAAATGCCGTAAGCAAAACATTCAGCTCCCGAGTAATATCGAGTGTGGGCACTGTGCAAGCACTTGTGCCCAGGAGGTCCCTGAGCAAAGGGCACATTTGCCATGTGAATAAGACACCGTGTCCTTGCCTCTCCATACATTTGTTTGGACTCTGTCTCAACACATGCCCACTCTGCCTGCAGAGCAGAGGTTCATGTTCTCACCCACAGAACAATCTGATCAAATGACACTAAGAGCCATGGGCTGCTGTGCTCTGGGCGAACCACACTGGAAGCCATCAACAATGCAGACTAGAGCGCCTAGCTCATAATGCAGCCAGCCACCCACGGAAGCCAGGAGACTGAGCAGGGATCAGGCAACCAGAGCCAGAAGCCGGGCTCCATCTGGGTCTATCTATGGGGACTTGGCAGCTTATGACGCCAAGTCAAGGCAGACCGTGAGAGGATGAGGGCCCAGAGAGACGATGGGTGGCACGATGCCCGCCACGGTGTCCCACCCAACAGCTGCATGTGACCATTTTACTATTGTCAACATGTCCAAGACTGCGTAAGGAGGAAGGACCTGCAGCTCATGCAGCCAGTGTGGAGGAACGGGACGTGCACCTCAGAAACATAACTCCAGAGCCTTCCTCCGGTGACACGAGGCCGCTTCTACTCTCCCCTGTTCTTGGTTATGAAAGATTTCTCCTTTGGGAGCCTCGGGGTCCACACCTGTTGCTACAGCTTTAAGATCCTTAGCAGTGTATCAAAGCAGATATTAAGACTCATAACCAAACCTTTGACAGAGTGCAGGGAATCATATGAAAGAAGGGGGAGTTAGTAAGACCTGGAGAGTAGAGGAGCACCACAAGGACCAAATATATCAGGGCACAAAGGTCTTTTATGAGACTGTTTCTCCAACCAAGGACCATGTATGAATATAACCTAGAACCCCTGCTCAGATATAGCCCATGGTAGCTCAGTGTCCAAATGGGTTCTCTAATAAAGGGAACAGGGACTATTCCTGACATGAACTCAATGGCAAGCTCTTTGACCCCCCCATCCCAAAGGGAGGAGCAGCCTTGCTAGGCCACTAAGGAAGACATTGCAGCCAGGCCTGAAGAGACTTGATAAACTAGGGTCAGATGGAAAGGGAGGAGGTCCTCCCCTATTAGTGGACTTAGAAAGGGGCACTGAGGAGATGAGGGAGGGAGGGTAGGATTGGGAGAGAAGAAGGGAGGGCTATGGCTGGGATACAAAGTAAATAACCTGTGATTAATATAAAAAATAAATTTAAAAAAAAAGATCCTTCAGGAGAGTTGGAATTCAGAGCTTAGGGCCTGAGCCCATCTGACAACCCTCCCCTATCAGCTGGAAGCAAAGGACAGCAGTCAGTGTCAGTCATGATCACGTTATCTTTAGCTCCTGACCTCCATCTTCCCTCTCCTCATCTCCCATCTACTGAAACACCTCTTCATCCACCTACTCTCATGTGGAAACATATGTAGCGTTCCATGGTATATGCATATGTATTCACATGTGTGTGGACATACGTGTGTCATGGGAGTGCATATTGAGTTTGTGTGCATGTACAAGCCTGGAGCTGGCATCAGGCATATTTGTCAGTCACTCTTATTGAGGCAGGGGCTCTCAGGGAACCTGGAATTTGCTGATTTCTGGGTAGCCATGATATGCAACTTGTCCTGGGGACCCTTGTCTCTGCTTCCTGAGAGCTGGGATTACAGGTGGCTGTCATACTTGTCTGGCTTTTATGTGGGCTCGGGACCCAAACTCTGCTCCTCACATTTGCATGCCAAGTGTTTTGTTCTCTGAGCTCCTCGCCCCCAGCCCTTACTCACTGGCTCTGTTAGACCTCAAACATATCATAACTGTTCCTGCTCATGCTTTTGCCTTGACACTTACTGTCCTATTTGCATGGCTTTCTCTACCCCCTTCCCTCATCTCCTTCAGGCCTTCATGCAAATGTCACCTCTCCCTTGAGAACCACACGCATGCCCGACTGTAAATGGCACCTGAAGCTGGGTGGTGGTACTACCTGAAACCACAATACTTTGGAAGCTGAGATGGCAACACCTCAAATTTAAGGACATCTTGGGCTAAATAACAAAACCCTGCCTCAAAAATTGCATGTGCATGAACACACACACAACTGTACGCATATGTGCATGAACACACACACAACTGTACGCATATGTGCGTGTGCACACACATACTTTTGCACCCCACTTCTGTGTTCCATATAACCCCTAGCAGGTATCACCATCTGAGATATAAGATATAAGATTGCCATGTCAAGCATGGTTAATCTCCCTTCAAGGCAGTGGGACTTCCACAAGCTCAGGAGATGTTTTTTACTCTTTTGCTGATGACCGTATTCTCCCAGAAGGAGAGAAGAATTGAAGGGAGGAGAGGAGGGGGGAGAAAGAGGAGCAAGGTCAGAAACTTGGAGCAGGAATTGAGGTGAGAGGCAGTTTCTAAAGAGACGCAGAAGACAAGATAAGGCAGAGCGCTGACCATATACTAGTAGGTGCTCAATAAATACCAGTGGAACAAATAATCCCAACCTGGAGGACATAGGCCAAGTTTGGGATGGAGAGGGTTCGAAAGGTCCAAGATGAACCTCAGGTAAATCGGAAAGGAGGGGGGCCAGCACTGTTTAAACCCTACCTCACTCTGCAGGGCGTGGGCTTTCTTGGCCCAGGCCATCTTCAGATCCTCGGGCAGGGCAGTGAACTTGTGGCACTGTGTCCGGTAGTCATGGTCACTGGCCAGGCCCTGGGCCTTCCTGGCATGGACCAGGAACGCCATATCCATGGGCAGGTGGCACTGGGCTTGGCTGCTGGCCGCCTCCTTCTTGTACTGGTTCTCGCTCTGCAGCTGCCCCATCCGCTGGCAGTGCCGGAGCCGTGGGTCACCACTCACGCTCTGGATGCCGATCAGGTGCCCCCGCTCCTTCACAAATGCGTGCCTATAGAGAAACTGGAAGGGACGGCCAGCTGACCAGGAGCCAACATGTGCCCACCTCACAGCAGCATGGAGCCAACGCATGCCCACCTCACAGCAAAGCGTAGCCAGTGAGTGCACACCTGTGGAACCGCATCACAGGCCTTGGGGGAGGGGTCAGCTCTCCCTGTGCTAAGCAGCAAGAGCTGCCACAGGCAACTGGCCTGAAGCACGCCTCCCTCCCTCAGGGCCGACAGAGAGAAACATTATCTAATTAAAATCAGATTCTCAGAACTATGAAGAGCTCCCTGCTCCCTTGTGCATCCTGTGGCCAAAGGAATTTTGTTAAATAGGGTAAAAAAGAAGCTTGTATTTTATCCACTCATATTTAGAGAAACATTAAGCCCCAAAGACAGGACCTGCTCATTTGAAGTCTGTGTTTTCTGTGATTTGTTTGTGGGAAAGGGAAAGTCACCTTCATGTCCCAAAGCTATGGATGTATGCAACACAGCTGTGGGTTGTGGAGGAAAGTGACAGAGAGCCAAGGGGGAGGCCATTGCCATCTCTTATCTCATCCTTGTTCTGGGCGATGCTGCAAATGGGCAGCTCTCAGGTGGCCACCGCCCAGTGCTCGCAGTCGGGCCGCAGTCACCAGCTGCTGACAAGGGAGACTCTTGCGTGCACCTGTCTTGTGATCAGCCCTCCCTGCTTTGCTGAAGGACCTTATTCAGAACTAATATATTCTGCAGGTGACATCCTGTCTCACACGGTTCTACATTTGCCCTAATTCAGGAGAAATGAGCCTTACACATTGTTTTACATGAAGTTAACAGAGATGAGGCAGGATGGAAGGTCAGAGCATTCCACTCACATCACTGGCGATGTCCCCAGAGGCCCGTGCAGCCTGGAAGGGCAAAGCGTCTATCGTCAGCTTGTAGCCCTGAGCACAAAGATGACGCCAGGACTCCTTGTATTTTGCCTAAAGTGGGAACACATAAATAACTTAAAAAATACATGAAGCAACGAACAAAGACTGCACACCCTTTCACATGTAGGATGGTGTCCTAGCATCCACTGTGAGCAGCAAACACGTTCTGTCTCACAGATCGACCTCTCATTAGCACATGCCCCGTGGTAGGCTCTGAGCATGCATGTCTATATAACATGTGTGAACTTTACATAGGCATCTAAAATGGGGGCTTCTTGGAAGCTTCGGCAGATGGCGGGGAGGTGGCTGCTGGGCCCCTTGTGGACCACCACACTGGTGGCTTTGGAGCATGCTCAAATCTCAACGGGAAGGCAGGCTTGCCTCGCTCAGGTTGGCTGCGTTGGTTTTCGCTCGGATGAACTCGGGCAGGCCGAGGCTCACTGTGTACCGGTGCCGCGCGTCCTCCCCAGCCGCCTTGTAAAGACGCTGAAGCCAAGTCACAAACAAAGAAAAAGCAGTGAGAAGGCAAGTATGCGGCTCTGTGCTCGCTTGCGGCTGGGAAGGCCTCACTGGACACAGCTCAGCCAGGGCTGAGGGACATTTCCTTCAGTAGAGTCGGGCTGCACGAGTCACAGGAGACGGAAGGAGTGTGAAGAACTGCACTTCACTTTATAAGCGCCGAGGAAGGCAAACATGGGGAGACACTCCTGAAGACCTGGGACACGTAAGGAAGCCCTGCTGATGGCAGGAGCTGGCCCTGGTCTGCACCCTTCCCTGAAACCTCAGCATCCCTTCTGAGATCAGGCTGAGCGCAGGCCACCCCGGAGGACGTGTCCCCGTGATGAGAAATGAATGGGTCAGTGTTTGCCGGCTGCTGCAAGGTTGGGGGCCATCCTGAAACAGCCGCTCCACAGCCCGAGGCTCAGAAAGGCAAGGAGGGGCAGGGAAGAGCTGCTAACAGATGGCCTTTCTGTGCAAGACACTGAACTGCGTCTCTGCCGGGTGTCCTTGCCCTTGGCTGCCATGTCCAGCTTTTGAAGGCTTTGGTTGAATGTGAAGGCGAATGGTAAAAATAGCCAGATCTCCACATAACTTCTGAAAGCTAGGGTGGGGAGAATCTTTAAAAATCCAAAATGATCTGATGGTGTGTGTGTGCTCAGCCAACAGGAGAGCGGCCACAGAGCTGGGAGGACAGAGGAGGCAATTCTGGCAGAGGCGACCCCTGCCCCTCTTTTTCCAGTGTATTGGGAATCCTAAATTTGGGAGTAAACAGATGGAGTAGATAGGGAGGATAAGGTGAGGCAAAGGTTCAGGAATCCAGACAGATGTCATACCCTAGACCCGCCTCCGGATAACCACTAGCCCCAGAAATGAACATTCTGTTGGTGAGCTGCTATCACCTAGCACAGAACCACAGACCAGTGTTTCTAACTCCTTTGTGCCAGGGTCAGAGGGCCTGTCTGTGACACTCTGGGTGCGGTGGGTAGGTAGGGTGTGGCCTGAGGCTGAGCTGCCAAGCTGCCCCTGTCTGATGAGCCAGGGTAGTCTAAAGCAGATGTCCAGCTGGCCTTCCCGGCCTCTTCGAGATGGTTAAGCAATGTATAGAATGCTCTTTTTTTTCCCCAAATCCCCCATAAGCATGGCTGCCTTTCCCCTCCTCAGCCCACAAAAATTCACACTTTTTTTTTTCTTTTATTAATCTAGCCATCCTTGGAGAGCCATGGGAGACTTCACCTCATTGGTGATCTGGTTGCTGAACTTGGCATGCAGAAGGTTGGGAGTATCTGTCACAGCTGTGTACTTGAATGACCGAGGGTACTGGCGGTACTTACTCTGAGAAAGGAAAGAGACGGCTCGGTAAGGTAGAGAACAGTGCTGTTAAGTCCTAATGAGTGTGTGTGTATGTGCCCATGAGCATGTGTGTATGTTTCTATGTGCACGCGCATGAGGCTGCCAGAGGACAGCTTGGGGTGGAGCACCTTGGGAGCACCAGCGAGTTAGGTCTCACTGACCTGCAACTTGCTGACCTGACAGCCTGGCTGGCCAGAGACCCAGGATCTTCCTGGCCCAGCCTTTGCCTGCATTGGAATTCTAAGTGTGTCCCCCATACTAGCGGCTTCTTTTGCCAGGCTGCCAGCCCATCCCTCTAGAATCCAGCAGGCCTCTCCCTCTCCGGGAGAAGTGGACCAGCTGCAGTCTGCGCCTGAGAAGACTCGGCACCCTCGGTATTGAGGGTACACGAAATGCTGCGCACCTTCAAAGCCATGCTCACAGAGTGGCCACAGGGCCACACGTTTGCAATCCTAGTACTGGAGAGGCAGACAGGTGGGTCCCTGGGGCTCACTGGCCAGCCTGCCTAGAACACTGAGAAAATTTCAGTGCTCGCTGGCAGCTGTGTCTGAAGTGGCAGCTATGTGCTTGGTGAGTTCTTGGTGACGTGTGTGTGACTCTGCCTACAGAACAACATCTAGGCCCTATGTGCACACTCACACAAATGCACACACAAACATACACACCCAACTGTCCACCCCAGGACTCAGAAGGCCATTGGCAGAGCCCAGCCTCTGCGGGTTCTCTGAAGATCCACACGGGGCTTTGATGGACGTGAGCCGTGGGGAGCTTTGATGCCACGCTGTTCTATGGTGGTAGAGCCAGGGCCTGAGCTCCCACAGCGCCCGTCCACCCACCTCAGCCTGCACACTGGCCCTGAACATCTGAACCTCTATTCCTACCTCCCCTGCCCTTCTGCATCAACACAAGTCACCTCTTGGAGTGAGCAAGGCTCCCTATGCACTTAGAGAGCTTAGAATTCTGAGAGTACACACACTCACACACACATTACCAAGAACTCACCAAGCACATAGCTGCCACTTCAGACACAGCTGCCAGCGAGCACTGGGCTTAAATCAGTGTCAGTCCTTACAAAAGCCAAATGGTGGTGTTCTGGTGTGACTAACTTAGAAGCCGGGGTGAGAAGGGGCAGCGAGCTCGGCTGGGGTCAAAAGCAGACAAGCCGACCAAGAGTGTCAATGCCTTGTGTGTTAGCTTCCAAAGCCTGTTTTCCGCTGTCCCACACGGCCGCCCCTCAGGAAGAGCACGTCTTCCGAGTGTGACTCGGCCTATGTGGTAATGGAGGAACTGACGTGGTATTTGTGTGTGTGTGATGTGTGCATATGCACGAAAGTGTACGCACAGTGTGTGTGTGTGATGTGCACCCATGGTGTGTGTACGTACATGCATGTGTGCGTACAGCGTGTGGACATGCATGTGTGCGTACAGCGTGTGGACATGCCTGTGTGCGTACAGCGTGTGGACATGCCTGTGTGTACAGCGTGTGGACATGCATGCATGTGTACAGCGTGTGGACATGCATGCGTGTGTATACTGTGTGTCTGTGTACAGCGTGTGGACATGCATGTGTGCGTACAGCGTGTGGACATGCCTGTGTGTACAGCGTGTGGACATGCCTGTGTATACAGCGTGTGGACATGCGTGTGTGTACAGCGTGTGGACATGCATGCGTGTGTACAGCGTGTGGACATGCATGCGTGTGTGTACTGTGTGTCTGTGTACAGCGTGTGGACATGCGTGTGTGTGTACAGCGTGTGTATATTGTGTGTGTGTACAGCGTGGGGACATGCATGCATGCGTGTGTATACTGTGTGTCTGTGTACAGCGTGTGGACATGCATGCGTGTGTGTGTACAGCGTGTGGACATGTATGTGTGTGTACAGCGTGTGG